GGACCCCACATCTGAACACAGTACTCCAGCCGGGGTCTCATGAGAGCAGAGTAGAGCTGGGAGGGAGCACAGCCCCAGTGACCAGCCCAGGATTCAACCTCAGGTCTGGGACTGAGACCCAAACTGGACAATGGTCTATTCCATCCCATGCACGGCATGCCCCAGATATTGACGAGCTATCCAGTAGCTTTCCCTTGATCAGGTCTCTCAGACTCCCAGGCTCTTCTCTTTCTCCTGGTATGGCGGTTTCAGGAGTCTCTCTGCTCCGGAATCACTAGCTGCGAATGGGCTGAGCCTCGGTCATGGAGTGGTGAGCAGTGTCACTGTGTGTCACTTGTTTATGTATTTGTATAGTATTGCTGTTGCCATTATTATGATCATTATTATTTTCAATTTCATTGTATTTTAGTTATTGAATTGTTCTTTTCTCAACCCATGAGTCTTTTTTCCCTTTACCACTTCCATTATCTCCCCATTCCCGGGATTGGGGAGAGTGAGTGAGTGGCCGTGCGCTGATCACTGGTAGTCGTCACAGTTATCTCGCTGAGTCTTTCCCACTCCGTTACACATTACCCTCAGAATTTCTGGCAGAACAGATGGCTCTGGCACACTACAAATGAGCTCCTATGTTTTGTCTGCTGTGATGCACGTACATGAAACAAGGGTAACAAGAAAGAGATTGACTGGATCTCCTGAGACCGTGCAGCTTCAAGAGCCCAAACTCCCAACTGGACTGAGACAGAGCTCATCTGGTCAGGAAATGGAGACACTCCTGGTGACAACGCAGGAATCCCATGCCTGCTCCACCTGCAGTTCTGCAATTACAGAACAGGTTGAGTGCTCTGGAAGCAGACAAGTGTGTGGGAACCCTCTCCCATGAAGCATCTGAGCTGGCTGAGCCAGAGCCACACAGCAGCACCAGGAGGATGCAGCAAGTGGCTGTACTGGGACACTGTCCCACATGACATCCTGGTGGCCAAATTGGAAACTTATGGGTTTGATGGATGGTCCACTCCCTGGATAAGGAACTGGCTGAATGGTGGCACTCAGAGAGTTGTGGTCAACGGCTCAGTGTCCGAGTGGAGACCGGTGACAAGTGGTGTTCCTCAGGGGTCAGTACTGGGACCGGGGCTATTGAACATCTTTGTCAGCGATGTGGACAGTCGGGTTGAGTGCACCCTCAGCAAGTTTGCTGATGACACCAAGCTGTGTGGCACGGTGACACACTGGAGAGAAGGGATGCCATCCAGAGGAACCTGGACAGGCTGGAGAGGTGGAGCCATGCAAACCTCCTGGAGTTCAACAAGGCCAAGGGCAAGGTCCTGCACCGGGGTCGGGGCAACCCCCAGCACAGACACAGGCTGGGAGGAGAGTGGATGGAGAGCAGCCCTGAGGAGAAGGACTTGGGGGTGTTGAGGGGTGAGAAGCTGGAATGAGCCAGCAGTGTGCACTTGCAGCCCGGAAGGCCAACTATGTCCTGGGCTGCATTAAAAAAGGGGTGGCCAGCAGGGAGAGGGAGGTGATTGTGCCCCTCTACTCTGCTGTTGTGAGACCCCACCTGGAGTACTGTGTCCAGGCCTGGGGTCCCCAACGCAAGAAAGACGTGGAGCTCTTGGAACGGGTCCAGAGGAGGCCACAGAGATGATCAGAGGCTGGAGCACCTCTCCTATGATGAAAGTTTGAGGGAACTGGGCTTGTTTAGCTTGGAGAAGAGAAGGCTCCGGGGAGACCTCATTGCAGCCTTCCAGTACCTGAAGGGAGCCTATAAACAGGAGGGGGAGCGACTGCTTACAGGGGTTGGTAGTGACAAGACGAGGGGGAATGGTTTTAAACTAAGAGGGGAGATTTAGGTTGGATATTAGGAGGAAATTTTTCACGCAGAGGGTGGTGAGGCAGTGGTCCAGGTTGCCCAGCGCAGCTGTGGATGCCCCATCCCTGGAGGGGTTTACGGCCAGGCTGGATGGGGCCCTGGGCAGCCTGCTCGAGTGGTTGGCAACCCTGCCCACAGCAGGGGGGTTGAAACTAGATGATGTTTAAGGTCCTTTTCAACCCAGGCCATTCTATGATTCTGTGATTGTATGATCCGTGTCGTATCTTAAATGATGTTACAGTTAAGATGATGTCCAAGAAGACACCAGTTTATGTCACCTCAGGCAGTGGAAGGATAAGAACATGGTCACTCTCCAAAGTGAGTAAATACCTTGATTGATCATTGAAGCCCTGGGTTAGAACTGGTTGCAACATCTCCTTTTCTGCTCTCATTTCCTAAGACAATACAGACTTAACTTTCTACATCCAGGAAAAGGATGCAGCTGTCTCTTCAGGAATCTGACTTTGATGGAAGAACAGGGCTCAGTCTGTACTACTGTCCATAACATTTTCTCCAGGTAACTTCCAGTCCAGCATGATGACTTAGCAGTTATATTTTAGAATTTGCTTTACAAATGTGTAAGTTTCAGGCAGGCCTCTATTAGCACTTCAGTACTTGCTTGCTGCCAGAGTGTTACGGACACCACCTACTGCCTGCAGAAAGACAGTACACAGGGTACAGCTGTAATAATTCACCCGTGCAATCTGACTTTGTACTCCAAACTACAGAAATTACACAACATTATATGTGACAAAAAAGAAATATTAAAAAGATCTATTTTTAGATTAGCAGAACTACTTCTTCTCTCAGATAACTAGGAATGTAAAAATAAAATACACATATGTGCATGTGTGCTTCAACTCAAGACCTAAGCCAGACATGAAAAATTTTACATCAAACACTTTAGCTGCCAGAATAAGCAGTTGAAGATGTAAGAACATAAGAGGGCATGACTGGGGGCAAAAAAGCAACATTCACACGTGTCAAAAATGCTCACTTAGAATTTGTAATTTTTCATCCTGTTACAGTTTGCCAGCGTGGAACATGGCATCCAAGACAAAGCAGACGAAACAAGATAGCACGAGCGCTGGGAAAAATAAGCAAGGAGAAAGTACCAAGAATGGAGATACATCTGAAGGAACAAGCAACAAGGAAACACTTGCCAAAGAGAGGAAATCATACTTGCAGAAGGAATACCAGATCCTCACTGAACATATGAACACGTACATGGGAAGACTGGAGCATTTCCTGCAGGAAAATAAATTTCTAGAAAAGGAAGCCCAACGGAACCAGGAAGAGAGCAACACTTACCTCTCCTACATAAAAAAACACAGGCAGAAGTGCCAGAATCTGATAATAACATTAAACGACCAGAATCACACCGATCTGTCTCAAGTCCGTGAGGAGAAAGAGCAGCTGATCTCACAATATGCAGAAAAAGAGAAGGAGGTAAGGAGCCATCTGACGAACATGGAGACAAAGTACTCTCTTATGAACCAGGAGGTTGAAGACCTGGAGCCTCTCAAATATCAATCTGTTCAGCTGGAACAGACAAAAAAGATTAAAGAGCTGGAGAAGGAATTGTTGGTCACAAAGATTCAGCATTCGGAGCAAATGCACAAAATCAAGAGCAGATTTGTCCAGGCCAAGGCTGACTGTGAGATGAACTGTCATCAGAAGATCGAGCTTCTCACCAAGAGAGCAGAAGAAGCAGCGATACAAGCTCTGATTCAGCATATCAGACAAGTGAAAGCAGAGAACTGGCATCTGCGCTGGGAATTGCGCAGACTCATCCAACACTCCAAAATCCTGAAAGAAACCAAAGTTCGACTGAGAGAGCAGCAGGAGCAGCTTCTTCGGGAGAACCAGTACATTCAGGACATGGCACACACGCGCCACCGCTTACACCAGCACGAGGCACACAGCGCAAATGGCAAAACCTACAGCTCTCACAGCCCGTTCAGGCGTGTCCATTAACCTAAAAAACACTTCTTCACCCCTCGTTCACACCAATATATCAGTAGGCACAGCTGGACTGCCAGCTGCTGCTAGTGTGAGTTAGGTATCAGCATGCAGAAGTCAATGTTCCGTGTGTGGATGAAAGGATCAATTCACGTAGCCCATGGTCAGTGTGCAATGCAGACAACAGATCTTGAAAGTAACCCCAGCCTTAGCTTTCACGTCATCTTTGTTAAGACACTTGAAACTGCAATCCCTTCACGACCCAAAATAAACAATGACATTTTCTCTCTGAGATCAGACTTCAACGTTGCATTAATGAGCAATCTTCCATGGGTGAATTCTATTCTTAGACAATAAGAGGCAACCTTTGTTACTTGCCACTGCCAAGCTACCTCTACTGGTACCACAGTATGAACTGATGTAGGGCAGCTCTCACTTTCGGCAACATTCCTTTTCCCAAATCTTCTACGAGGCAGAGACTTTAAATTTTACCTTCTGCTATTCTCTAAGGAAAGAAAATAAATACGCAGCAACCAAATCCTTTAAAGAATATAAGCAGTTGAGGTATTTGACCCTTGGTCATAACTATCAATGAAACATATTCAGTTAATATTTTCGTATCAATTTTTACTTTCTTCTCGTTCTTTTCTTGCTTTATTGTTTCACTTGAGAAGCAAGGGGTAAAGAGTTCTAAGAGACCACAGCTAGATTAACTTTCCATGTTGAACATTCTGGATTTCGGTTACCCCATCAACAGTGACACCACGGGTCACCCTCACTCTGAGTTTCAGCATTCACACAGGGATATCTTACACAGAAGCAGTCCTTAGCCAAGATTGGAAGAGACCTCAAAGGAAGGTCAACCACAGCAGGGGACCCTCATCAGCTTTTGAGTATGTCCACGGATGGAGATGGCACAGCCTCTCTGTGCAGCCAGTTCCAGCGTTCGACCACACTCGCAGTGAAAAAAGTTTTCTCTTACATTTAAATGGAACTTCAATTCTGCCACAAATTTCAATCTCAGTGCAGTCTGGCTCCATCCTCCCCCCTGCTCCACCTGATTTTCATACGCATTAGTAAGACCCCCTGAGCCTTCTCCAGGGTAAACAATCCCAGCTCTCAGCCTCTCCCTGTACCACAGATGCTCCAAGCCTTGAATCATCTTTGTGGCCCTTTGCTGGGCACAATCCTGTATGTCCCTGTCTGTCTTATACTGGGGATCCCAGAACCATACAAGGTTCCAGGTGTGGTCTCTCAGTGCTGGGTAAAAGGGAAGGATTGCCTCTCTCAAACAGCTGCTGAAGCTCTTCCTTGTGCAGCCCAGGCTGATGTTCGCCGCCTTTGCTGCAAGAGCACATTTGCTGGCTCATGGTCGGCCTGGTGTCCACCAGGACCTCCAGGTCCCTTCCTGACAAGCTGTCTTCTAGCCCCTGTACTGCTGCATGGGATTGTTCCTCCCCAGCTGCATGGGATTATGAGGAGAGGCTCAACATGAGCGGGCAGCGTGTGCTTGCAGCCCAGAAACCCAGCCGTGTCCTGGGCTGCATCCAAAGGAGCATTAGCAGCAGGTCAGAGGAGGTGATTCTCCCCCTCTGCTCTGCTCTCGTGAGACCCCACCTGGAGTACTGTGTTCAGATGTGGGGCCCCCGACATAAAAAAGACCTGGACCTGTTGGAGAGAGTCCAGAGGAGGCCATGAAATTGGTCCGACAGCTGGAGCAGCTCCCCTATGAGGACAGGCTGAGAGAGTTGGGGGTGTGCAGGCTGGAGAAGATAAGGCTCCGAGGAGACCTAATAGCAGCCTTCCAGTACCTGAAGGGGGCTACAGGAGAGATGGGGAGGCACTCTTTTATCAGGGAGTGTAGTGAGAGGATGGGCTTTAAGGTCCCCTTCCCACCCAAACCATCCTGTGACTCTATGATTCCTCCCCAGCTGCAGGACTGGGCATTTTCCAGTGAAGAAGTTCACAAGGTTCCTGCTGGCCCGTTTCTCCAGCCTGACACGGTCCCTCTGAACAGCAGAACCATCTGCGGTACCAACCACTCCTCCTTGTTTTATGTCATCTGCAAACTTGCTGAGGCTGCCCTGCAGCCCACCATCCTGCTGACTGACCAAGAAGCGAAACAGGGTGCCGGTGCTGACCCCTGGGGTACACATCCAGCAACCGGCCTCCAGCTGGGCTTCGTGTCCCTGGTGACAAACCTGTGGCTCTGGCAGCTCAGCAGGCTCTCAGTCTGTCTGGCCATGCCCTTGACATGTCAACGGGGACACTATGGGAACTGGCGTCTGCCCGAGCACGCTGCCAGCAGGGTAAGGTCTGCATTGCGGGAGCTAGTAATAACAGCTGCTAGATTAAAATAAAGTAGGAATTTTTTTTTACTGTGCATTCAAATGACACCAGGTGGCGAGGGGAGGGAGAGAGGGAGGAAGGGAGAGATGGGGAGGGAGGGAGACGGAGAGAGAGATGGAGAGGGAGGGAAGAGAAGGAGGGAGGGAAGAGGGAGGAAGAGAGGGAGGAAGTGGGGAGAAAGGGATAGAGAGGAAGGGGGGGAGGGAAGGAGAGGGCGTGGAGGGAACAAAAGGATGGAGGGAGCAGGGGAGAGAGAAGGAGGGAAGGAGGGAGAGGGAAGCAGCGGTTCCGCGCCTCAGCCCCTCG